CCCCCAAACTTCTGATAGATCTCAACTAACATATAACAATCTATCCCTTTTCTCGGGTTTTCTCCTCAATGCATGGAAGTCAGCTGTCATCACGGTTATCCCCAAAAAAGGCACCCAATCAATAAATCCAAGTGATTTCAGACCCATAAGCTTAATTAACTTCACTGGCAAACTTCTAGAGAAAATTATAACGACAAGGTTATTATAGATGCTAGAAAACAACAATACATTATCATACATCCAGAATGCGGGACGCAAAAACAGACAGACTGCAGACCACCTCGTTCGACTAATTGAAACCACGTTTACAGGACTTAATAAGCTACAGGCCACTATTGCCACATTCTTAGACGCACATAAAGCTTTTGACACTATCTGGCACAATGGGCTTAAGTACAAATTAATAAAACACAAAATACCCACGACATTCACAAAATGGATTTCCAACTTCTTATATAATAGATCGGCGAAAGTTAAAATCAACACTTCAGTCTCACAACCCGTCACGTTTAACGCAGGTGTACCGCAGGGGTCTGTCTTAAGCCCTCTGCTGTATACACTCTTCGTTAACGACCTACCGCAGCCAACCACGCCTCTCACGCACACCTCACAATACGCCGACGATATAGCCCTATGGAGCACCTCCTGGGACCCTCCACTACAGCCCTTGACAAAATCACACAGTGTTGCAACAAATGGAGGATAATACTTAATCCCACTAAAACCCAGGCAATCATACTCTACCATAGATTAAACAAAAGACTCAAGCGTGTCAAGCTAGCTAAATTAAACCTCTACAATAACACGATCTCATTCACTAAATCCGCCAAATTCCTAGGAATAACCATAAACACTAAATTAACTCGGCACACGCATTTTAAGGAAATTTGCAAGAAAATTAAAACAAGAATAGCTTACCTCCACAAAATCAATCACCACGCCCACGGATGCAGACCACAAATAATCATGTACATTTACAAAACATGAATAATAATCAACAGCAGATTTTACAAAAACTACAAAACAAAGTAATATGTCTCGCCTACCGCCTCCCTCACTACACACCCGCGTGCTACGTTGAAAAAAAAGCACATCACTACACACTATACAAGACCGCATTTCTAAACTCGCCGCCAAATACTACAAAAAAGCCACCCACCGAAATTCACTCACAGCTGAATTTCATAAAATTGCCGCCACCCCCAAACCATGGTGCAAATACCTATCCCCATATAACATGATCCACAGAACTACTTATAACATATTATATTCTTTGCATAACCATTTCACTGTTCAGTATCTTTCCAGGTTTTCAACTTGTCAATAGATCTTCATCTGGGCACTAGTCGGGCTTCTATTTGGTCCCGACTAGTAAAAGTGCGTGTTCTCGGGGTACTCCCGTTTCCCCCCACATTAAATTCTTTGGCATTGGATCTATAGATCCCAGCCTTGGCACTAGGATCCACTGATCCCCGCCAGGCCCTGTAAAGGCCCTTTTGCTTCATTTTGTTTCGATAACTTGTCAAAATCGGCTGCCGACTTGCTCCTTCTTCAAAGATCAACCGGCCTCTGCTATGCCTTGGACTTGCCTTCACTTCTGCCTATCATAGTATATATACGGGAATATATATATATATATGTGTATTATTTTTATTTTTTTAATTAATTATTTAATTAATTAATTATTATTACTTCTTCTTCGCCCATACG